ATTTCATAATTTTGCATTCTGCTACCACCTTTTTCAAAATTCTTCTCAAATTCCTTTTTTTTTTTCCCCCAGTCCTCTTTCTGAAATTTTCAGAATCCTTTGACTTGTTTTTTTTTTAAATTGCATTCTACTCATACACTATCAATTTTAGTGACAAATTTATCCTTCCATACCCAGAACTGCAGGTAAGGCAGCACCAATTTTCTGTATTGTAAAAGCTGTACATTTTATTATCTGTTATGGATTGCTCCTGGAAATGTTTAGAACAACATTTTTAAACAGCATGTCTGAGCAATGTCGGTAATATATTTTCTTTATAAAAGTGGACATTCTTTAAAAAAACTTGGCCTTTTTATTTTTCAAGTTTTCCATATTCTTTTAAAATGTATAATCAAGAAAAGTTGCAATCTCTTTCACTCAGTAGAACAAAACTCTTGCAATCTAGCAAGAATTACTACCTTTTGCTAATTGGCATTGCATAATCACCATTAAAGTCTAAAAAAAAATCTATCTGTAAATATTTTTATATTAAAACATTACTATTCATGTCAGCTTTCATAAAACCATTATAATTTTTTTTCATTCATGAGGGTACAATCAGGCACACAGTTTTAAGCAGGGTTGTTTTAACAGTATTTTGTTTCTTTTTCTTATATGAAGTCCACTTACAATACTGAAAATGTTCAGTACAGTGAACAAATACACATTCTTTTCTCCCCTACAGAGCTTTGTGTTGCACAAGAAACACAGAATAAATATAAACGTTAGGCCAAGGCAACATTCTGAAGTGCAGAACTCCACCTGCGATACATGAATAATTCAAATAATGCTGCATAATGCATAGGCAATACTTACTAGCATTTCATTAATAATCAAAACCTAAAGTGACACAATGAGATCAACATATAATAGTAATTCAAATACATTCCATTTACAATAAATAAGTGCTCATACAAACAAAGAACACACTAAGCATATTGTCCCAACAAGCATCCTTTCCACAAACTACCTTTTATTTATTTTTTTTGTCTGAATGTTGTGTGCTAACATTGAACACAAAGGCACATTAAGAAACAAAGATCCCAACTGCAATCTGGCAAGAGAACTAATGGAGAGTGACATCTGGAAACAGTTTCATGTACATTTTTTCCAGAGGCTTTATCTTAAGTCAGTAGCACTGTATCAATTTATACAGACTGAAAATTATCCCTTTCTGATGGTAGTGCTGTTCTGAAGAGAATTCCCAACCATCTCACCTTAATGAACCTTGTTTCAATTTGTAGGATGCTTTTGGCACACAAGGATTAAGTTTATTTTGGAGGAAATTGCACTGGAGGCTCAGCTGCATGCCAAACACACTCCAGCCTCTAAAAGAGAGTGAAAGTAAGAGTCTGAACTAGTTATTTGGCTGGCTTCAAACTACGTTTGCAGTGGGGACATTTATCCAAGGAAGCAGACTATATGTAGTCTTAACCTTCATACAGTGTAGATGTACAAGTCTCAGCAGTAACTTGCTTTCATCTACTTATCCTCCCCTACTGCACCAAGTGTCTTGGCATTCCACACACAGCCAGAGAGTCATAAGAGCTGAAACTTCACAGTGGAATCCTTAATGTCTCTCAAAAATTGCTTCAGAGAAATTTGGCTACTACATCCCCTGTATCTCCTAAACCTAAAATTTCCGTGCATAAGCCACCTTTCACTGAACGTGCTTTTTGGACTACCTCAAAGGACCCCACTTCAGCTTTTTCTTTCTGTCATTACTGTCTCTCTCCATTCAATTCTACCTAAGATGCTGTTGTTGAAAATACCTCTCAGTTTGTTACATTAATCCCTGCACTATCTTCCTCTTGCATTAAATTCAGGCTTCTTTTCCTTGCCCCTAAGGACCTCAGCATTTAGTGGCATGCTATCCATCTTGGTCCTCACTCCTCCTGATCTTGCGCACTGCAGGCTGCAGGCTGGTGCAGGCAGCCCATGACACTATCTGTAGGCAAAGCTCCTCCTCTAGCTGAGATTCTTAAAGAGTTGGTTCTGCATTTGTGAGTCTGGGCAGCATCTGGGTATGAGATACTACTAAAGCTATAATAAAAAGGCTGAGTTCCTACCTTGTGCCTGAATTGAACAAGAGTCAAACTGGTCATAATGCAGCCAATATTTGGATACAAAGCTCTTTTGCAGCAGGTATCCTAGGGAATCCCTCTGTAACTGAGCCAGCAGTATAGTGTTGAACTTTTAAAATGCTTTTCTGTATTTCCAGTTTGCAGATGCCCTCTGCAAACCCTGAATCTCGTTCTTGACAACACTACAGAATAGTGGGAAAACAATGCAGTCAGAGACAGCTAAGGCTACCACTAAAATAAAAGCACTGATTTAGTCCATAGCTCTGGAAGCAAAGAAGCAGGGCACAAACATACATTGTAGACAGGCTGTATAACCTTTCTCAGCCCTAGAAAACATTCTTGTAGGAAAGCCAAAGCTGAAAACCATGCAACTCCCTAAAAATAGTTTAAAACAGTAACTGGGTGAATTAAAATGTGTCTCAGAGTTCTTTGGTTTTGGAACATGACATTTGGTCAATTAAATTAATGTCAAAACTCATGAGGGAAAATGCTCATCAAATCACAAAACCAAGTTAGAGATGAAAATTGCACTTGCTGAGCAAGAGTGCTGCTGTGATTGAGACATACGCAAAATAAAATGGTTAAGAAAACACCCTGATGAAATGTGGAAATCTTAATCTTTAAGTCTTGACTCCCAAAGCTTCTAGAATCATTGAACATAATGGAAACAGACTGTACATCTGCAAGCGCACGGCACAGCACAGTGCCCTGTGAAGATACCTGAGCTAGCTCTCAATAAGCAAGCCAAGTAGCTGCACTTGGGTGGTGTCTCCAAGCCAATATCCCCTGGTACTCATTTATTTCAGGAAAAAAAAAAAAAAAAAAAAAAAAAGACACTGAAAAGACTGTACTGCTTTTAGTGCCCAAGTTAGCTTCCACTTGACGCTATACTGTCTCGTGTATGCAAAACCATAATGATATGTAAGCTTTGAAAATGCTTTTAAAATCAGAAAGTTATCATGGGAATCACAGAGTGGCTGGGTTGAAAGGGACCTTAAAGATCACCTAGTTCCAATCCCCCTGCCATATGCAGATGAGCCTCCCACTAGACCAAGTTGCTCATCCACAGCTTCCCTGGGCAACCTGTCCCAGTATCTTACCACCCTCATAAGGAAGAACTTCTTCCTAATTTCTAATCTAAATCTACCCTTCTCCAGTTACCAGTGACATTGGGTCAGGCACTCTCTTGGAAGTAGACATGAACTGAGACTTTGGCAGAGTGACCCCCCTTGTTCTGTGAACAGAGGGAAGCCCTGTGTCTTGCTACCACCAGGCAGTGAGATAAAAGCGTGAAACAAAGCTTAAGGAAATCAAACTTCAAAGAAGTTTGAAGCAAACCTTAAAACTATATTCAACCCATTTGTAGTAGCTCAATGCAGTATTGTCTCTAAAGACACTGAAATTGAAGTTTACGTCTTTTTTGCTGCAAAAACGTTATAAAAAAACAAAAGGCAACCCCCTCCTCAATCTAATGTCATTAAAAAAAGAAAAAAGTCTGATAAAAAATAAATTTTTTTTTTTAAGAAAGGAGGCTGCACAGATTTCCAAAACAAAAAGGGCACATTTTTACCCAGAATTGTGTAGGACTGTAATGATGGTTACCACACTGAATGACACAAAACAGCATGTTAATACTGAGCTGCTTTTTCCAGTGATGATTTCCACCTCAAGTCAAAAGTGCTAATGGCCAGAAATAGTCCGTTTCTCATGTCTATCTTTTTAAACACACTAACTTTCCTTACAGAAAGGAGAAGGGACATTGTGTCATCCTGTCTGAACAGTCCAGGGCAAATGAACCTGGGAAAGTTCTGCAAGGCAGCTGAACTAGATGAAGCACTTACGCTAGTCCAGAAAAAAAATCATTTGTTTGCCATCAAGGAGCCTGCTCAGGTATCTTAGTGTCTGCTCTAATTTTACACAAGTTTCATTCAGCTGTCACTCAGCTGGAGATAATTCAGTGGAGTAGGTGGAAGATCAGGCTGGCTACTTTTAGACTTAAGAACAAAATCTGCAGAAATGCAGTTTCAACTGACAGCATCCCAGAACAATGTAGCCCCTCTGCTCTCCCAGCCTGTCTCCTTGTAAATAATGCCCCTTTTCTTATTTGGTTCTTCCACCAGTTTTCTCCTGTCTGGCTATATGTGACAAATATTAACTGTTTGATAATAAGGATGCTTATTTATAAATACACACTTCTTATCTGATTTGTCTTAAAAAAATAGTGTTTTGAGTGGAATAATTAAAAAAAAAGTTCCTAATGAAAAACAAAAAAATGTTTTTCAATGAAAAATATCACTGATTTCTCCATACTTGGTGATGATATTATGGAAATTGCATTCTTCCATGATATTAATTATTTGCAAAATCAATTTATTTGCATTGATTTTGTTTTGTTCTGGTTTTAATTTAAATGCATTATACTCAATGAGAGTGTCATTGTTCTTGTAATGTTTCCTACACTATTATTAAAAGAAAGAGTAGGTATCCTCCTTAATTAAGATATTGTCAAGGGTTAGGGCTGGACCAGCCTCTAGACAAATGACAGATGCTCTCTATTAACTCTTCTCCCTTCCCAAAGGGGAAGAGAAAGGGAGTAAGAAGAGATATAGCTGGAAAGTAAAATCACCAAACAGAATTAGTTCTGTGCTAGTTCAAACCAGGACAGGTATTTACCACATCCCTTATCAATGAGCACATGCTGTTTTTACAGAGAAACTTAAAATTCCACTTCCTTTAGAACCATGACAGTTTTGGTAAGGTAGTTCTTGAAAGGTCTAACAAAATTTCTAATGTTTCCAAGTTGTAACACATTAAACAAAACTGAGGTGTCATTCCTGATGATCAGGCGCTGTGTTTAAGCAATCTTTTCCGAATCAGATACAGAATGATCAGCAGAGTATTTTGCAAAAAGGAAATGGATTTATACTGAACTTGAAAAAGGAACCACTTGCTTTCCGGCCACATACACTTCAGAAATATTCCGGTCATCACCTGAAATAACATGGTCAAAACAGGGATTTGCACATAAATCTGTGTACTGTTTCAGTTAGTGAAAATTATGCAATCCACAAAGTCAGTTTTGGAATACATTATTTGCCGTGACCATTTCCTAGGACTGAGAAATTTTTTTTCTGAGAGAAATAATCAAGTTACTGGAAAGATCAATGGATGTGCAAACTACCCATGCTTTTTTGAAGAAATGAATGTGGCATTTGGCTGCTGAATTGTGGCCAAACATGGCCACAATTAATACCACATAGTTCTTCTACACAGCCCCACAATGAACAGCCTAGCTCTTGGTCCAGATGATGCCCTATGAAGAATATCTGTTCTCTTAGGGGGATACGACTGTCAGGGTTGGCTTTTTGTTTGTTTGTTTGTTTTAAAGGTCATCTTTTTTGTCTATGAGTAAAAAAACTCATAAAGGCAACTGGTCAGAAGGACTCTTTCTGAGCTGAGGTGTTTCTGAACTGGTGATTAGCATGCCAGTAATACTTTACTGTGAAATATGATTTAGCTCTTACTGTAGATAGATAGATGTGGTAATAAATCTGACAAACTTGGTGCATCTGGCCATGTTAAACTGACTATTTAACTATGTTCCAAAGAACAAAGTTAAACTACTTAATTCTTACTTAGTATTTATGAATAAATGTAAGTAAGAGTATATTTGTTTAATATAAATAATATTGATATTAATATTAACAGTAACATGTTAATGTTTATAAACCACCTCAATAAATATATTTAATTACTGTAAACAAATATATATTTAATTATAGATGAATACATTTATTATTAATCTCCACATTAATTTAGGCAATTTTTGATGTATGACACAAGAAGACAATTTTATGTGGTCTTAGAATCAGAACATACCTAGATACAGAAACTTCTGGAGAGTGTCCTAGGAAAGAAATGGGGAAAAAAAAAACAAATTCAGATAGCAGTATCTGATATTCCAGATCATAATTACTTGAAGCTTGAAAGAACTCATAGTTTTCATAAATATTCCTATTACCACCAAAACCAAAACTTAATTTGCATATTTTCTCATAAATAGCTTTCAGTAATCTATCTCAGGAACAAAATGCTGCACAAGTTTGACGGTATAACAAATATATGCCTAAAACATAATACTTCCCCTTCCTCTGTTTTAGAGTTGTCAAATTCATTTAAGTATTGAAAAATAAGACAAAACTGTAAGCAGTTAGAGTTCTAAGAATTGCTAATTTAGCTAAAAATGTTTAAACTGCAAAATATTTTTTTCCAGAATTATTTGAATTAGGAAGAAGATTGAAATTTTAAACAATTTAATCTAATCCAGATTACTGTGTATGAAACAGATTAAGGAACATTGCCTAACCACTTATGCCCACATTTCTAAGTAAAACTGTCTGGCCCTATCAGTAAATTTAAGTGTGGTTCATTACCTTTTTTAAATCATGATTTTTTTTTTAATTATATGAGGTGTGCCAATTGTATCATGCCTGTACTGCTTATATGTTTGTATAAAAACGGTGCTTTCAAGATCAAAGCAGCCGTCTTGATTTCTTGCTTACATTCACAATAGCAGTGCAGTCAAGGCAACCTAGCATTTATCTGGAAACAGGCCATTTTTTAATTTGAACTTAAGTTGTTAACTAAAACTAAATTGCTTTTTCTTCGCTGCCATTTGTCACTGCAAATGGATAGATCTAGTTGTCATCTTAGGCTAATAAAACATGCACTAAAAAATGTTATATGCATTTTTGTTCATTGGAATATGGGACTGTCACAGAAGACAGCAACCCAAACAAAACAAACAAAAAAACCCCCACCACAGAATCTCAGGCTGAAACACAGAAAGCAGTGTTGTAGTACATCCAATTTCTCTTACTGGAGTAACTCTCAAAAGACTTATCCTGGTTGTATCATAGACCCTCCTCACATAATTTCCAGTAATTTTTTTGATCATTAATGATTTTATGATTACCTGGAAATTATCAGCAGAGAACAAGTCAAAAGGGCTGTCTGAAGCTTTCGTGTTAATTAGCAGTGCATCAAACTCTTTGCCGACCTCAAAGTTTCCAATCACATCATCTAGTCCTAGAGCTGAAGAGGAAAATGAGCTCACAAACAGTTCTTCAACATTTTTCCACCATGTGGAAGTACCCAGCAACTTACTTGAGACTTTAATAAGAAAAACTACAATAATTTAGATGGTTACAAGGAAAAACATGAAAGCAAATTCAGTACTGAGTATGTTTGCATCTGAGCTCTTCAGCAGCTTCTCAGTAAAAATATACATATTTTTACAAATATATATATTTTGGTGAATTTCTGAATGGCACCTGTTAAAGGTAAAAGAAATCTGAAAAACAGGGTTTTTTTATCTTTGAATGTTCTCCACTAATTTTGTGTAATTGCAGATGTGATGTATAGGCAACTAACTGTTTGAAGTGGAATAACAATAATTTATACTGCAACAACATTAAAGGTTGAGATGGGTCAATGAAATGAAGCCAGAGAAACAGTAAAGTATATAATAATATTGCCTTTGCTAAGACAGTATTAGATTTAGTTTATCTGTTCATTAGATTGCAAAAGTGAAAGCAGCTTGGACAGGCTGTATAGACCTATTACAATAGTAATATGTATTAATATGAAAAAAGAAGAGATGTGCAGTTATTCTTGGATAAGTAATGGTAATTAACAGGAAAAAAGAACAATATAGTGCAAGGGGAAAAAAAAAAATCATAGTCAGATCCGAAGGTCTCATGGCCACGTGTAAGGCTTGTCTTATGGTCTACTACTTAGCTTTGTTTCAAAGCTTCATTATAACCCCTGGTTCTCAAGTTCACGAACACTGAAAATCTCAGCAAATGGGCACTTGCAGGTGCTCAGAATACTTAGAGAAGCCTTTGTGTCTCTTTGGAAATAATTTGTGATAGTTTTAAGTTGTACAAAGTATCTGGTATTCAATCAACTTTTCTAATATTCTGGAGTAAAACTAAGTTATCAAAAGTAATAATATCTGCAAATAATTTGTTCACTTGATCTCAGTTTGCACCTGTCCAACAAATGAGCTGTAGGCTTAAGTGAAGTTTGTGTGTGGCTGGTATTTCACAATACCTTAAAGATGTTTAAATTCCTCCAAACGGTGAAATATTTTGACTGCCTACCAGTTTTAACTAAAACAATCTAATTCCTTCAGGTTTGTGAGCAGACTGCAGTTTTTAGATTAAACACAAGAGGGAGACAAGTGTTTAGGAGTCAGCAATACAATGTATGGAAACAACGAATCACTCATTCAAATTTCCTCGGACAGTACTTGTTCAGGCTATGGGAAGCCTGTATCAGTAGTTTACATTCTACTCTTGAAAGTGACTCAGTAAGGATAAACGCGCTCAAAATCAATGTATAAAATAAACACATTGCTAAGTAAACCTCAGGACCCAAATAGAACAGGAGAAAGAGTAACTGAGAAGGAAAGCCACATGTAAATTCAGGATTTTTATAAATTTTCCTTTCTGTACTTCAGCTAGATTATTCTCAACTTTTATGAGAACAATATATACTGTGAGAAACCTCCTTTTTTTGTCCTTGTCCATTTTCTATATTCTTTCTTTTCCCATTTCACCCTCCAGAAATTCAAATAGAGTCCCGAGAGTACCTGTTTGATGACATTATCATCACATCCTTTAAACCCACCGTTAAGAGTTCCCAATGGTGTTTTCTCCCAACTACAAAAATATTACTAGGGCATGTAGTATGAATGAATGAAAATTTATCAAGAGCATGAAAATACTTGGGACCACTTCTTCAGCAGGTAGACAGCTCACTTTTGCTAACTAAAACAGTAATAATTTTTTACTTATGTGTGGATTTGCTCTCTGCTAAATCATACAAGCTTCACTAAAACTTTGCTAGTTGTATAAATCAGTACGTGCATACTGATAACAAAACATGCTAGTGAAACACAATAACCAATATACTATATAACTATATTCTGCAAGTGCAACTGGGTCTTCAACAACTATGGTGCATATCCTGCTTAAACTTTGTGTTTTTCTCTGACTGAGGAGTGATCTACATGATGTTTTGATCTGATGGAAAGATAGGGACAAAATGCCTCACTGAAAGCTCAAAAAACAGAAACAGAATTAGAAACCAATGACAAACAGGATGCATGATTTTATAGTAACTGCACAGCTTTTCCTCTAAGTGTTGGTCTTTCCAGTCAGTATGATAAACATGCAAGCACTAACTACTGAGAAGTCTAAGGATCTCTGCAAAGAAAATGGACAACCCTGGAAAGTCATTCAGATTCTGTTATTAAACTCTCAACATCAGTCTGAATACTTTTCTGTAATAAGCCTCTCTGGTATGGTTATGAGAGACTGATTTCTACCCTGCAGATAACATTTCTGACTTCAGTTTGGGACCAGAAAACCTGTGAACTCAGTCACCTTTTAAAGACAGACAGACATATCAAAAAGACCTGTAGTTCTCTGTGTACAGTTCGAAGAAATTTCTTCTTACCTTGGCTTCCTCCTAGAGTGGCTAGTTGAAAAGCTTCTTCAAGAGTTAGTCCTGTTTCATTCTCTTTATTGATCTGAAGGCTATTAGATGCTATCATTGTTTTCCTGATGGCATCAAGCATAGAAGCTGAATATCCACCAGCAACATCTAGAAGGAATCAGATTCTTAGAAACAAACTTGGGGATTAATTCTCTGGCTTAAAATTCTATGAGTTTTTATTAAACATTATGGAGTGGCAGATGTGGTAAACATAAAAAGTTTTATTGTAAAGTAATGTCTCAATGTATAATTCCTGGTAAAGGTGCTCTCACATACAAAGTCAGGTAAATAGAACACAACACTTATCAGAACCCTGAAAAGTTGTTGTTCAAGACCTGTTTACTCTCATAACAAGAATATAACTTTCTTCATTTATTTTTGAACACTTTTGGATCAGTTCTAGATTTCAGTACTCTAGACTTCATTACTCTAGAAACAGGGGTGGGGTGTTAACCAGTCCTTAAGTTAGAGACATGCTAACTTTTCAATATGGACAAACAGTCATGTGTCTGTATCTCCCAACAGTTTCCAAGAGAAACAGCAAACTACTAACCTGTGCCGAGGCCAAGCTTCACTTTGTGTTTCAGGACCTTTTTCACATTTAAGACACCGCTACGCAACCTGGATTCAAAGAGGAAACATATTCTGTGTGATAGACGCAGATAAAGTTCAGGAAGTGTAAGGCTGCAGAGCCATTCCATGGCAAAGGCTCTCAGAATGTGTGCAATAGGTTAGATTTATTAAACTAGGATGGTGCATTTGCATTCATACATCTGATAGACAGGGTTTAATCACTAAAATTAAAAGCAGTTTTTATCAATCAAAAACTCTTACAGTTTTTGGAGAACCAGCTCTCAGTATACCTGTGAAAAAATTCAAAATATGATGTAAAGTATATTCCAGGAGATGGGAGGTCATTTCCTGAGCTCCAGTAAGTCATCACAAACAGGGTATAGATCATGTTAAAGGTAAAATGACTGTTAACATTTCATACAGTATTCTGTCTGGATACCATACAGTTTCTCATTTCTGCTTAATAGAAAGACTACATATCCCATTTCACCAAAACCTATGCCTACTTTGGGGGGAAGGGTGGTAGATGGCAGACTTTTGGATCGTCTGAATCTGCCATTGATAGAACAGTCAGAAATAGTTTTAAAAAGTATACCAGAAGATCACAAGTCAGTCCAGAGCTTACCACACACAAGTAGAGCATGAATGGTCATGCTCAGTCCAGTGCATCACTTTTGATGAAACAGGATATCATATACATAGCCTTGTAGCTATGGACTGGACTCAGGGTATTAAGTGAACAACAGCTTTATTTAATAGTACATTTTTTTGGTTTTTTAACTTACGAAAAATTGGAATTGGGGCAATGAGAAATTGCAGCTCCACGAAGACTAAAAAGTTTCAGCTCTTCTTCAGAAAGATAACAAGCATGAGCCATCACTGTCTAAAGAAAAAAAAAAACATTATCAGTTTACCCAATGTTGCAGTTCTTTCAGAGCCTGTGATTTTTGCTGCACTGCTTTTAATAGCCAAAAGGAAACTTTTTTTATCACCAAGGAAATCAATCCAGTCCTTGAATGAAGCTCTTGAAATCAACAGGGGAGAAACTCTCATTAAATTCAGTATGCCAAACATACCACTCCCTCAGCTTTTTTTTTAATTTATTAATGTAAGAAGATAGGGTACAGACTCCTGCTGTGAACTAAGAGCATCAAGGAACAAAAGCAGGAATTCCCTAGTTGCCCTAGTACTGTGGTAACCTTATGATTTATATTTCATAGCTAACACAGAGATTAAGTACTGGAACTAGGAGTACATCAGATATAATTGAACATGTTTGTATTCTTAGCATGTTTCCCATTGTCTCTGTAGAAGTTTGCACCAGGTAGATAGACATATCTAGAATATTCTTTAATTAAAATAATCTAACTTGTTATGCCACTGAATAATGACTTTTCTTTCTTGGCCTACATAGCTGACTTTAAAAATAAGTCCACAAGCAGTATATACAAAACATAGATATATATGATAGCATCACTTAATAGGACATAAACCAATTATAAACCCAGACATATCTAATTGGAATTACCTCATATGCCAAATGCCCACTCAATGAGAAGAGCAAGAGCTCTGTTAGGCCTTGCAATCTGCTATTAAAAACAAGAATAGCACAGGGAATATTTCCATAGTGTTATTTCCTAATAGCACTGTACCCCTGCCATCTCTATGCAATAACCTCAAACGTAACTGAGAAGTGCCTCATCTTAAGTTAGGAACATACATATTGTAGCTGCTGAACCACCTCTCTGCTAATCTGTACTTCTTTTTAAAAAGAAGGAAATATTTCAGCCACCATTTTGAAAAACATACTTTTAAAACATTTAAAAAAAAAATTAATTTGGTGTCTTAGCTTTGGTGTTGGGGAGGCGAGAATGGCTGTGGGTTTGTTATTTTTAGTAGAATGCTTCCCAACCAGAGAGTAAACAAGCAATTCACTGAGGTACATTTTTGAAGACATAAATGAGAGTTCAATTGCTAATTTCCAAAGAGTTCACAGCTGCCCTTTGTGCCTCTGAAAATTATCTCCTTAAATCAATTTGACTGATGATTAAGCACTCTGACTATAGTTAGGATGTTCATATTTACTTGCATGGGCTCTCCACCATCTCAAAAGGTTTGCCCTACACTCCAATCTGTACTTAGTGTGGGCTGGTATCAGATCTGCTTGCATTTATCTTGTCAGCAGAAAGCTTCAATGAATTTCAAATTTTTAGGCCACTGTGCCTCCCAACACTTTGTAAAATCAGCTGATGAGATGAGAGAGTCTTTGGATAATTGTAAAGTGCAGCTGGCTGTATGTGACATGCACACAGAGAACGTAACAGGACAAGCTACTTTTCTGCAGAGAACTGCCAAAAATTAAGTTGGTCCCTACCATAATTCCATAGAACAAATCTTGAGGCAAAACTAGTGTGCATGAACATTGTAATATAAGGATCACTGGGAACTGCCCAAGAATTACCAGCTCCTACAATACTAGTTTTACCTAGACTCCTGATTCCACTACCCCAATTTTCTTTGGAGCCAGCCAATTTTCTTCTGACAAAACAAGACAAACTTTTCAGGTAATGAGTTAATCAACGTATTCTCTGCATGGATAAATCTAACCTATGCTGTGGCAGTCTTTATGCAGCTACCTTGCTGGTAAGCAGCTTGTTTTTATCATATAATTCAGTGTAATTCTGGTAGGAAGGAAACATGGTCTTCACAAGTTCAACTTCTTCTTCATTCTCACTTATGTGACTCTGAAATAAGAAAATACATAGCAATGAATGTTTTAAATACTATTAAACCTAACATTATAACCTTCTCAGAAACCTATTTGTGTTAAATATATAATAAGAGAAGCTAGTGTTTGTAAAGACTATAGTTAGGTCTAGTCCTTGGGTTTCTCTTTTCATCTGAGATGTCCCTGGGACCCAAAAGAGTAGCTCCCTTTGTTCCTTTAAGGGTGGTATGAAATTGTAAGCCTGCATAGTCCATTACAGTAGTTTAGTGACATAACAGTCCACTTGCTATTTGGCAAATATTAAAACAATACATGTGGCTGTGAGGTAAAAAGGAGGACCAGCCTAACACACAGTTGGAGTCTGGGATCAGGGCAACATAAAGGCAGGTGCTCCATGTATCTTCAGATGGGCTGGTTAATTCTTGGTCTCATATAATCATCTGATCCTCCTGTACTCCCACTGGAGCAGGTGTTTTCAAAATGGTCACTTTGTAATGGAAAAAAAGTCCTAATCTAGGATAGCTTTAAACAGTGTACACTTAGAACCAAAAAAAACAAACATCTTGACCTTTCAACAGACCTGTAACCTTGAAACTGTCTTTTTTAAACAGAAACTTTATTACACTGGAAATCTACAGCTATATTAACAACATTATACAAGATACAAAGATGAGTAATTCTTTTTTCTACTGAAATCTGCTCTGTACAGAAACAGCAGAAGGCAGAGAGACAGACGTCACAACCTTGGGCCATGGCGAGCAACCCTAAGCAACTCAAGGGTTACTTCAACCTGCAATACTGTGCGCCAGTCTCCTAGTGACCATGTACTGGGACCTGCAGAATTGTGCATCCTTCCAGCTATAAGCCTTCTCATTTCCTGTTCAGGTCACAGTGTTCTTGCAGCCTACCATTAATAATAATTTCAGAGGAATTTAAAAGGCAGAGTTTGAGGTAGGAATGTGGTTTGAGTGTTGTGCTGAAATTATAAAACCTCCCTGCTCTGTACACTATCTACCGAATCTATATCAATTGTATATCAAGCTCTCAGAGCTTACCTGCACATGAAGATCACGAGCCTGTGCTAAATCACCCAGTGCACACAACAAATCCTCTGTGCAGGACGGGCCAAACCGGGGAGTTATTACAGGCTGTACCCTTGGATACTGAAAATATTAAAAAGACATGCTTTGGATTCTACAACTATATATCAACAACAATAATTAAGAAAACCAGCATAGCAATTACATTTCGATTCCACCACCTATTGCTTACTGCATCTTTGTCAACTCAAATGAAGCTGTAGTTTTCTTGTTTTGAACAGAAATGTCACTACAGAAATAGAGAAATTTTTTTTTCTGAAAACAGTTTTAATGAACCTTAGTAAAGAAGTTACTTTCATTAGAACTCATTCATCAAGTCACTGAGATTTTATCAGACTTCAGAAGAAGTACTGGATGCTTTTTCATATTTGCTGACAGTACAGTATGCATTATGAGTCAGATGAACGACCACACATTTTTCTGAGTCCCACTTCTGTGAATATCAAAGACATAACAATGCAAAACTACAGAGCTCTGTAAAACCAAAGCCTTTTCTCGTTTGATCTTCTCCACTCCTGACTGCAACAAACTGTCCCTATACTCCCTAGATAGGAAGATCAGTGGTAGCACCAGATCTGCTACACAGAACAAAATAGTGAAGAAGACACCAAGGCTAAAGATGTTAATTCTACACTTAGCACTTCTGGATTAAAATTTTCATTAAAAGCAATGGTATTACAACTCTGCCTTCAGACACAGACAATAGCTGCGCACGTGGCACAACTAGAAGATAGTATATAATAATTTGTTTTGCAGTTTGTCATGGTTTAGCCTCATTTGGGAGCTAGACATCAGCAGTCCTTGGCCACTGGTCCCCCTGCCACGTGTTAAGGGAGGAGAATTGTGAGGAAGAGAGAAAACAAAACTCCCATGGGCTGAGATAAGGACAGTTTAATAGAACAGCACAAAGAAAGACAACAATAATAGTAGTGAAATGATAGATAAAGCAAGTGATAATAAAACCCGTACCCAAGACCCATCTCTCCCTGCTCCAGCCACAAAATAACACCAACCAAGAAAACCAATGAAAACAGATGTGTTCCCATGACATAACCTCAGTGGTACAGAATACCCCACTGGCTGGCAGCCTCTTGTGAACATTAACCCTACCCTGGATGAACCCAGGGCACAGTTTCTTACACCTTCTCCCAGATACAAGGAACTCAGGAGTTCTGCAGAAGTGAGTCAGCTTTACTAACACGTATGATTTAGGCATTAAACTCTTTGAATCTATTCTTGAATATTTTGAGATACAAAAGTCAACAAATTAAGCCACTGAAAACAAAACACTGAGAAGAAAAATATCCCTGCTTGTCATATTGGAGTGTAAACCTCCCTTTTATCTCAGGAGCATAAACCTGAATTTCTTTAGAAACACATTGGAAGGTATGTGCTGACCCAAAATACTGATTTTGTAGTGGATTCATAACTGTGCTTTAAAAACATTGTTTTCCGGTGGTGAGAACTTCCTTCACAAATCTACTTATGTATCACAGAGTGATCCGCTGACTTCCACCTTTCTTTAACAGAAAACTCCTTTCTAGAAAGCTGAATATTTCTAGAAAGCCAGCAAAGAATATGCACAGAATATTATTCCACTATGCTCTGACCACATGAAACTCAATTTATGTTGCTGAAAGCCCATTTCCCAACAATATGGCAGAACATTTTTCAGACTGATGATATCTGTCTACTACACAGAAACATGTATATTTATTTATTTGTCACTCAACCAGCAGTTTTTCAGCAGTATTAACTATTTAACATGTTCACAAAGCACCTTCTGGATACAGCAATGAATACACAGGAGAACTGTACTTACTTTCCTTTCCAGTAGCTCATTAACAAACCTGAAAAAGAGCAGAAAAAAATGTTATAAATTTGTCATCTGTGTTATAAATTGTGAGAAACACAGAAAATATTTACATAGACATCCTATCAAACATTTCAGACATAGATCAATTGTCTACAGAAAGTTGGGCCAGATACTCAGATGAAATAAAAAGAAGCAACACAATGCAGTCAGGACAGTTACATTAAATTATGCTAGTTGTGAATTTGACCCTGAATATGCAGATTTTTTTTGTTCATTTGCAATAATTGACATGTAATAATTACTCTGAGTTCAGACTGAAAAACAAATACATACTACATTAAATTAATTGAAAACATAATTACAAGCTAGAGCTGAAGCCTTAAAGAAAAAAAAAAAAAAAAAAAAAACCAAACATTTTTCTGTCCATTAATTCAAACTATGGCACTAAATATATCCCATTATTAAAAATTCTATTTTTAAAAGATGCTGCAATGTTTCATACCTCAATTACAGTAGTTGCATATGTCCTCATTCACTTAAAGTACTCTTGATTTTCTGGAAATGCTAATATTAATGTTAGCTTATAGATTATCTACCTTATATAAAATACAGTACAGATTTACTTACTTTGCTAAATAACAGAAGTTACCTCAGGGACCTCTACAAAAAAACCCAGCCAGTCAATATGGATAATGCACATGAGCAAATAAAACTTCCTCTGACTTTGCAAGGAAGAAATTCTTTGGAAGTTCATATGCACAGCGTATGCAAGCAATTTCAAAAAGCCAGTCTGAGATGGGTTCTCTGTGAATTTTTATGCCATAGTTTATACTCAGAAAACCCCGTAATTTTGGTCAAAACAAACATTAAATCACATTTGTCAAATAGCTTCAGATGGAAAAAACTGCTGGAGGCTAGATTCACAGCACTGAAGCTGGTGATATGTCACCAGCTGGAGGTGAGAGACCTAAGCTCAACTGCCACAACGAGCAAAGAAATTTGAGACCAACATTGTGCAACTCTGAGAGCCAAAGTACAATGTGAATTAGGTATTGTGTCTGTCCCTCCTCTAACTGATACACCTCATACAATAATAAAATATTCACTGCAGCAGGAACTCTAAAACAAATATAACTCTCAGGTGACAATCCAAAACCTGCAGACAGCTGTATTCATTATTTTTCATTCTTCAACATTGTTTCAAAACTGAAATACCTTTCTTGAAGTATCCTATATTTTGCTGGCTTTTATACTGCTCTATAGGGGAAGAAGCTCAGGTTCAAACCACACTCTCTTCTGTAGCAGAAGAACAGACTTGAACATGGATTCTCCTCTTTTCAGATGACTAAAACTAACAGTAGCATATAACGTACTTTAGATTTCAATTCCCTAACCTTTTATTCAATCATCTTCACAGGAGAAGGGTAGATTCAAATTCTTGACTTGAATTTAGATTTAATATATGAAGCACTTGAAATTGTATATTATTTCCATGCATATTTGGAGATTAACTGTAAAGAACCAAAATCAGTGTAATATATTTTCTGACAGTGTGACAGAGCATATTTTTTAGGTTCTTCTAAAGAAGAAAAAAAAAATTGCCCTCTTAAAGAGCTTTTTCATCCTTCAGCAGTTGTATTGCTGAGCTTCAGGCCTGATGATGTAACTACTTCTGATCCACGCCAACAAGTACAGAGATCTCTTCTCTAGACAGCTCTGGAGTACTTATGGCACACTCTTATCCAAAGCTGAGAAACATTTCTTATTAACACAATCACACAAGAAGGAAGTCAGAGGCACAAGACAGCTATTTAGAAGAAAACCATTGAGCTGATTCTGAGGCTTTAAAGAATATCAGAAGTGGAAGTTCTGCCACTTTCAGGCCCATTCAGCAAAAATCACACTGTATTACAAAAACTGGAGATTTATGGGAAGGAAAACAGATGTTAGTAGAGTTCAAATGACTAATAATAGGGGTTTTAAATGTATTTAAATTTAAGCAACATTAAAAATCCATGCCCATTTCAAACTTTTATGAGCTTGATTTGCAAAAATAACATAGCAACTTCACAAAAGTGCCATAAGATATTTATATTACTGTTAGGTATTTTCTCTTTCAGCATGATATTTGAAACATTTATGCAAGTAAACAAGTAGTCCTCTGAGAAAAGCTGTATGCCTGCTTAAGCATTTTCTGAGCATGGATACAAAAGACAAGGGAAACCTAAGACAGCAGGCTGCCATACTGCAGTCTTGGGTCCCTTCCCATTGCCTTGATTTGATTCTCTTTCACCATCTCTGCTGCAACAGATTTCACAGGTGCTATCCTGGAGGAAAGGAGAACCACGGCATATTTGAAGTAGGAGTATATGAAAGCTGACTCCTGCCACTTGAATAAAGCTTTATCCTAAATGGGAAAAAGAAATAGCTCAGAAGTTAACGGGGGTAAAAGAACCGATTGCCACCTGGCACTCCCATGTCAGGTCACATCCCACACACACACAGCTGGAAAGGGAAAAGAAGAGGCAGAAAACAGACAACAACACACACATATTCTATCCAAACCCTAGAGCCGTAGCTTCTCCCTTTCCTTGGCAGAGCTAAAGAGAAATAGCTTGGGCTGTGCAGCAAGAACTAATTGCCAGAACTGTTGGAAACAATACTGAGAAAAAAAAAATAAAATAAAGCTGCTGTTACTAATAAATTTACACCTGCAAGTTCTTAGTCAGCTTCACACTCACTTTTCAGATGTATGAAAAAGTCTTATTTCTAAAGGTTGCAACATCAGTTTAATCACCTTACCTTCCTGTCTCTTGGACAGAGTCAGCAGTAATCTCTTTGTATTGTGGCAAACTGTCATTCATATCCATGCAGACTTTTCCAACAAATGCCCGCTGACCAAATTTATCTGTTGAGATGCATAAGAATATAAAACTCAGAATCACTGGTTCTCAAAAACTGCTGTGAAAACCTGTACTGAAATCAGAATGGCAAATTCAACCCCAGCCAGCTTCATTTAAGATGAAGAGAATTTATGCTCTTTTCTTTGCTTTAAGTTGGGACCATCCATATGACCTTTGAAGCCAAAAAAAAGAGAAAAAAAAATTAAACAAGATTTCTCCTCTTCCACATAAATACAGAACTTTATAAATATTAAAATTGAAGGCTAGATTACTTCCATTTAACCACAGCCAGAATTCATAACGGTTGTGTATGAAGAAGACCACTGTGAAGTACAGGATGAGAAACATAAGCATCAAAGTAGAGTACCTGTAGCAGGCGATTACTCTGAGCTGAGAAAAAGCATAAAGATCTCAGCAAACCATCTCTCCTTAAGAGAAAGGAATGAGGTTCCAAACATGCCTCCCATATGCACCTGGAGAAAATTACCGACCTACTTCTAGCCTCTTTTCTTGAGATCTATCTATGCCAGGACTCATAACTCATGTGTAAAATTGAAAATGAATGCATATAATATTAAATTCTAAGCTTTTAAATGTGTTTCCAAGTTAGATCTCTTTTGTCCACTTCCACTGTCTGAGTTGTTGAATACAATGGCTTCAAAGTTTTAGGTTTTCCTACAAAATCAGAAAGACTAGGGAATTTTTGATGGAAACTGAGATTCTTGCCGTATTTCTCTGCTTTGGGAGCTGCCTGAGCCTTGATAAATCTTCCAAAAATCACAATTCAAAAAGCAGGCATTTGCAACAGTGAACAGAAGGGAGGGATATGATCCTGATGCAGCTCCCAGTGTTCTGGTTTCAGAAGGTGTGTGAATACTTTTGATGTTGATTCTCAATAAAAACTTCAGAGTATCAGGAAATTAATGCACTGACTGCAGCTCTTGTCATTCAACCTTTTAATACTCAAACAGCAAAAGGCTAGAAAGAGCTGGGAACTGCGTCTGAAGACCAAATCCAGCAGACCTAATTCAGGCTTAGCCAGCAGCTGAACTTAAAATGAGGAGACTAATAAAAACAACAGTAGGAAAGAGGCAATTAAATGAACAAGGGTAACAAGGGTGGATTTTGGGGACGCAGTACGGCAGATAAAACACATGAAAAACAAATTAGGAGAAAGACAGAAACCTAAGTAGACTAACACTCCTGTAAGTTCTATTTCCTTCACCTAAACCAGTCTGCACAACATCCTTCAAAACTTCCTGTTAGCCTTACCTATAATGTCAGCAAGAAGAAGAGAAGTATCTGTGTAAATTGTTGCAAAGTAGCAAGCTGTAGTCGTGCCATTCTTCAGAGTTCGTCTCTATAAAAAGAAATCAGTTTCAACTGTTTGGAAAAAAAAAAAATAGTCAAGCTGCCAAAATGCAGAACAGGCAGTCTGACTTCAAACTGCAAGAACATTTAGTTACCATGAAATCGTACAGTTAAGTGGGAAGGTAAAATATAGCTTTTTAATTTCATAATAGCTTTTTTAAGTCTGAATGTGAATAAATACAAAAATTCCTCTTCCAAATCCACACAGGATTTTAATAATGGCTAAACCCGTAGTAAACATTCTATATTTCCCTCCTTCAAACTGGAAATAAATTTTGACTTATATTTAGAAACACAAACATTATTATCTATTATCCCCTAGTTTTGAAAGGCTATCCAATTTTCGCAGTAAAGCACTGTTTACCTAACGTTAACAAATAAAGGCTTTTGGGAAAAAGTAGTGGTTTTCATTTGGCCACCTGACATGGCTGGGAAAAACAGCCAGGCTTTCATTTATTAAAAAAAAAAAAAAACAAAAAAAAGCCCAAAAAAACCCAAAACAATCTTTTGTTATTCCAGAATACAAAGCAATAAACTTCAAGGTAAAAGTAAACTGAGAACAACTGCTCAGTGTGTAATTTCATTAGTTATTTAATTATACCATTTGAAAGGGTATGGTGGTTGATACCTGCTCATATTACTTTTGGAGGACACAAGACTAAACGAAGAGTCATTTGAAGTTACATTAAGTCATGATGATATTTATACCTTCACTTGATCTTCAGACTAAGGCATACTACATTGACTACTCATACAGGTATAAATTATATTTTTTGATTCTGGCTACAATGTAATTTGAGAATTTTTTATTTTTTTATTTTTTTTTTAATGAGACAGAAGGCAGGACATGCAACCCAACTTTTGAGAGTGGCTGGAAGTAACTATTGACAAACATGAAGCCAAGCTCTGTCTTTTCCACACAATATTCAAACTAAAGCAAATTATTTAAAACACGGCCTTAATAGTTCCTAAAATGATTCCCACAAAAAAAACACCAGTGTCATTACTGAGACAAACTACCATTGCCTTTCTTAGGTTTTAAATCACAGAATTCTCTATTTCTATATTATTTTGATTGTTAAGCAACATTAGTTATGTCGCTTAATTCATGTGACATAAATAAGATGCTAAAAACATTTTATTTCCAAAACATCTGAATAATTTGTGTTCTTAAAATCTGAGAGACTAGAGGAGGTTCCAGATAAAATCTGGGAGATTTCACTTGATTTCTTCTATGAAGTATAGAAAGATTTTACTGGAAATAGAATTTTGATTTGAAAGAAAATCACTATGTTTTCATTACAACGACAGAAGTACAAAGTTACATATGAAACACCTTCTCCCTTCAGGTTTCATTCTATTTCTAATGGTTGAAGATTATTATCAGCCCCCTCAAACATTGCAGAGCCACTGTTATTCTGCAGCACTTGGGGGTGAAGAAATTTTCTTGACTTTGTCCTATTTGATACACATCAGGAGAGTCTAGCCATTGTGTAGAAGGTCCTACAATTAACCTCCATCTCTCACTGGCAGTTTCTTTCCAGGTGATGTTACTAAACACCTTGCACCGTGAGCACTTAACTGTGCTGATGTCACCCAGTCTGAACTGGTGGAGACAGTTACCAGTCTGTTAAAGAACAGAGATGGAATGTGAGATTGTCGCAAATGTTTTAAGTAGCTGAAGGCATGTGTGCTTGCCACTAGAGTTTATGACCAAACTCTACATTTTTTTATTATAACAGAAAGTAATTTTTTTTCTTTTACATTTGTGTGGCAAGGACAGTATATTTGTTTCAGATTCACTATGTTATTATTTTGACAACACATGTCACCGTATTAGACAAATGCAAGGCAATTTATGCTAGCCAAATAATTTAATCTGTTGAAGATTTTTCAGTCTACATATTAAAGGATACATTTCAGTTATAGGACTGAATCAGTACTCTGCAATGTGACATACTTACTGTTGATCAAGATGAATTTGGCCTTATAGCCTTTACTTTGCTCAGAACCGGTCTAGTTCAAATACAGTCTCCTTGTGCCATAATACTATCAACAGACTACAGTTAAGTCCCTGCATGAAAGATATTACTATTACTAGGACCTCAGCAGTAGAAACATCTTTCTTAACTACTCTCCAAATCACCCAGTTTCTTGTGTGTGAGAAGCACCTTCATGTAGTCTTTGCAGAAGACGATTTCATAGTAAAGGCTTTTTGTGCAGAAAAGGAAATATTCTGATTTTTTTTTTTTATTTTTTTTATGCTTGGTTATTTCTCCCTTGAGGTTGGCAGCACATGCTGCCTACACTAGCTCTGAGAGTGCTCTTAGATGTTGTTAATTTTACTCAGATATCAGAAAAGATGATAAGCAAGTTCAATGTTAATCATGTGATCAAATGAACTGCCTTATCCGCAATAACAAAACACAACTGGAACTAGTAGGGGACAACAATCTTGGCTGGAAATTATAACAGTGGCATATGTTGGCTTTATCTGTTTTTCATGATATTAAAAAACGCTTTACTATTCCTGCT